AAAAAAAAAGTGGATTAAGAGGTGTGAAATTAAATTAGAAAGTGAACAAAATGAGTAAATTAGAAATTATATATTTGTTCGTTCGTAGAAAAAAAAAATTGTTTGCGAAAATAATTATTATATATTTTTTTTTTCTCTCCATTCTAATTTAATTTGTCATTTTCGAATAGAAATCGAGAAAAAAATTGGAATTAAATTATCCTCGAGGTTATCGTCAGGGATTAAAATTAGATTTCTAGAGATCGGATGATGCATTTCGTAAATGGATCTCATAATTGAAGGATAATGAATAGTGGAATGGTTGAATTGTATTTGGTAATGGGTTAACTGCAGGCAATGGGACAATTTCACAGTGAAAAGATTCACAGGCCGTTGCGTCCTCGTTTCTCATTTCTGACAATGTTATCAAATCCTGCTGGGACACGAGCTACAATTTAATGAATGGAAGTGTTACGTTACACAATAGTAGAACGTAACGAAACCGATAGCTTCAGAAAATTTATACCCTGCATTAAACTCCCATTTGTATCGTCAATAATATCTCTGAGAGCGTTACTCGAGTTCGGCCAATCGATCGGGTGTATCGAGTAATGAGGAACGATCGGACACAAATATATAGTTTAGAGTCACTAAATTTCTCTTCGACGACAGCAACGGTGACAGACAGTCGGATCGAAGCGAAATTCACAATTGTCGATATGAAACTTGGCTCAAGAATGAAATAGAAAAGGAATAAGAAAGAAAGTGAGATAGCAATTTGTAACGTTAACACAGAAACTCTGGGAACCATTCATACTCGCACACATCGATCCAAAACAACCCCGAGGTAGCAAACAAACTGACCGACCGAACGTTTCAACCACGATCAACGATAAAATCTTCTCCCAGGGCGCCATAAAATTAACTCGAGCATATCCGATCCATGAGAGGCAAGCGATTATATCTCTGTTCTCTGAATCTCGTCGTTTCCACTCGAAATTAAGTGGCTCGATGGGTTTTCGAGTGCCACAGTTTGCCACGATTATCAAGGATCAGGGGAATGGAATATCTTAATTTCTGGAAGAGGTGGCGTAATATCGGAATTAAAATTTAATAACAAGAGGAATGTGAGCGACAAGGAATGGAGCATTTTTCGTTAGATGATTTTAGATTACGGATTATCTCAAGCCGTAAGATTTTCCTGTAGCAAGCGGATCACCCCGCATTATACGCTTTTCCGGTTTATTAAATTCTCCTCGTGAAAAACATTGCAAACATTGTCCATTTACGGGCAACGTTATTATATATATATATATATCCTCTTATTATATCTCCATGCATAACGTATCGATATTCTTTGAAAATGGAACAAAAAACCAATAGCCCATTATTTCGAAGCGATCCGTACATGGCGGGTTGCTCTACAACAGGCGCTCGAGTATTCGAAATTCGCCCAACAACGAACCTAACCTAAAACCTAACCGAAAACATCACGTTTCACCAATCAAACCATCCATCTTCCTCTGGAACAAAAAACCAATAGCCCATTATTTCGAAGCGATCCGTACTTGCCGGATTGCTCTACAACAAGCGCTCGAAATTCGAAATTCGTCCAGTAATAAACCTAACCTAAAACCGATCTCGAATCGATCCTAACCTAAAATATTCATCAAATTCAAAAACATTACGTTTCACCAATCAGACTACTGATCTTCCTTTGGAATAAAAAACCAATAGCCTATTATTTCAAAGCGATTTATATTTGGCAAGTTATTTTATAAGACGTTCGAGTATTCGAAATTCGTCTAACAATAAACCTAATTTGAAACATCACCAATCAATCTATCGAAAACTTCCTCTGGAAAAAAAAACCAATAGCCCATTATTTCAAAGCGATTTATATTTGGCAAGTTACTTTATAAGACGTTCGAGTATTTGAAATTCGCTCAACAATAAACCTAAAACCTAAAACCTAAAAATTAACCGAAAACGTCATGTTTCACCAATCAAATCACCGATCTTTCTCTGGAATAAAAAACCAATAATTATTTCGAAGCGATTTATGCTTGGCGGGTTGTTCTACAACAAGCAAATTCTAAACATCGAATATTCGAAATTCCAACAATAAACTTAACCTAAACCCGATTTTGGATCGATTTTAACCTAAGACATTCATCAAATCCAAAAACGTCACGTTTCACCAATCAGACCACTGATCTTCCTTTGGAATAAAAAACCAATAATTATTTCGAAGCAATTTGTGCTTGGCGGTTTGCTCTACAACAGGCGCTCGAATTCTAAACATCGAAATTCCAACAATAAATCTAACCTAAACCCGATCTCGGATCGATCCTAATCNNNTAAGATATTCATCAAACCCAAAAACGTCACGTTTCACAAATCAGACCACTGATCTTTTCTCTGGAATAAAAAACCAATAATTATTTCGAAGCGATTTGTACTTGACGGGTTGCTCTACAACAGGCGCTCGAATTCTAAATCGAAATTCGAACAATAAATTTAACTTAAAACCGATCTCGGATCGATTCTAACCTAAGATATTCATCAAACCTAAAAACGTCACTAATTAGACCACCGATCTTCTCTGGAAAATAAAACCAATAATTATTTCGAAGTAATCCGTACTTGGCAGATTGCTCTACAACAGGCGCTCGAATACTCGAAATTCACCCAACAATAAACCTAACCTAAAACCGATCTCGGATCGATCCTAACCTAAGATATTCATCAAACCTAAAAACGTCACTAATCAGACCACTGATCTTCTCTGGAAAATAAAACCAATAATTATTTTGAAGCAATCCGTACTTGGCAGATTGCTCTACAACAGGCGCTCGAATATTCGAAATTCATCCAACAATAAACCTAACCTAAAACCGATCTCGGATCGATCCTAACCTAAGAC